AACCCAGCCCATAACTCCAGACTAACTGGGCGAGGGGGCGCATATAGATGTTAAATAGCATTGGCGAGAGGATTGCCCCCTGCGGCATTCCACATTCTAGTGGGTACCACGGGGAGGTCCTCTCGCCCAGCACCCTCTGTTCCTGGCCATGGAGAAAGGAGGAAAACCATTTCAAGGCAGTCCCCTGGACTCCTACATCAGCATCCATGTATTGGTCATAATGTTTAAACAGGGTCTGTAAGGAGACTCCAACGCTTGTAAGGCTCTCTCATATGATTTTTATCTCCTCACCTTTTGAGCAGTGAGGATTATACAAATAGAATTATCCTATTCTATTTATATTTCTATTTATATAATTTTAGAAATAGTGAACATTAACCTAAAACTATTACCTGAAATTTATTTACTGAATATAATCCCTGAGTGTTATGAGCAAAATGAGGTATATTTGTTGACATACATTCTAACTTCGGCTAGAATGTTAGTAGCTAAGTATTGGAAATCTGAAAAATTACCCTCAAGAGATGAAATAGCACAGAAATTGTTAGGTATTGCAGAGATGGACAAATTAAATATGGTAATTCATGGAAAAGATGAAAAGATATTCCAGAAACGATGGTTAAGAGTTTACAAATGGTTGGAGAAGAAATCGGTTTAACTGACTCCAAATATGTAAAATCAATTCTTATGTACAAGGCTGTAAATTTGGGAAAACTTATAAATAAACTCATTAAAAAAAGGATTATATAAATAGGGCCTTGGATCATTGGACACTATACCCAGAGGTTCCACTGAAACCTGCACAGGACAAAAAGAGTCACCGTGGAAGAAGACGTCTTCCCCACCTCCCTCCTCTCTCCTCTCGTTGTAGTCTTCTGTCCCATCACCAGTTCTGAAGTTGTGTTTCTGCAGCTCAGTGGACTTGAAGGAAGAAATAACAAATCTGGCACCTGCGGTATGGGAATTTGCATCCTCTGTGCAGATGGAAAAGCTGTTCCATTAGAGGACAGAATGGCACCTTAGGATCCAAACATATATCCAGTGAGCCAGCGCATGGAAGGCGTGAATGGGGCAGAGGGCCAGCCTCTTCCTCATGTGCACACTACATGTTCAGGTTCATGTGAGTAGGTCACTGGTTTCCAGTGGAGGGCTATAAGAGACCAAAAGGTTATAGCAGACTTTCTTACTGCTTACTGTTTCTTACTGCTTTCTTTTGCAAGGCAGTTTCTAGATGGTACAGTTTACAGTGTTGGCGAAATAGCAGGAATTGCTTGTTTTGATTGCTAGTTTAGTATTATCATGTCCTAACTTTATGATTCATTTCCCACTTATTTGAGTTTTGTCCTCAAATTGTGTGGGGTGACAGTTGTTACAATATTTGAATTCTAGCTTTCAAAGAACTCTTGGAATGGCTGTTTAAATAGATTTCATTTGATAGGTTCTTTTATCTCCTTGGCATCTTATACCAACTTCACGCTTCAGCAAATGTAATTATGATAATCTTGCTTTTGCAATAATCTCAGGCGAAAATAAGATGCATATCCATTATAGCAACAGAGCTGAATTAAATCTTGGGGATATTTGAAAAGATGAGTGACTGATCTCAACATCCAGTTTACTTATTTTTAGAGCCAGGAAGGTCCTTTTACAAAGCAGAGATTGTGGGGCATTGTTTTTGAAGGTTGTAAGGGAAAATTTGGAATTGGCACATAGGAAAACTTTGAAAACAAACAAGCTGTGATTTTCTGTTTAGAGGACTTGATATTTTTTGCATGTAAGCTGCAAACGTGATCCTGGCACTTCACTTTCCCTTGTGCAGATTGTGACTTTGGAGCATTAAGCGGGTACCTTTAGCATTAAGATGATTTAACCTTAAACCAAAGTTAGATATAAATAGGATCTACAACTGATGGTGCCAAACCAAGATATATTTTTTTAATGGAGTTACTCGCATTTAGTAGGAACTGGTTGGCATACACAGTATTGTGTGTCAGTATTGTCTTCAGTTGCGCTGAGCATTCATGCATCTCTGCATTAAATTTGAACTGTTCTCTATTTGGCTCAGTGCTGAATCACTGCATTAAGGTGACTCTCAGACGTCACAAAGCTGATAATTCCAGCTTGGAATTAGATTTGGAGAAGGAGGTTGTTGTTAGGGATGACTTCCTGTTGTATATTGGTTTCTTAGAATCTTCTAGTAATTTGTCTTAATTTTTTTAAAATTTGTTTATAAATAAATAAATAAATAATTCATGTGGTGTGTTGGTTTCTTAGACTTTTCTAGTACTTTGTCTTTTTTAAAACAACAACAACAACAAATCCTCTCAGTTTGCACACAGACGTTCTTTCTTGTTTAGACTGTTGTAGACTGTGGAGAAATTTACTCTACCCTAGAATTCCCTGTAATAATTCAGTAATTGGAACTGACTCTGTCTATGAGCTGGAATCCTAGAAGTTTCTACCTAGAAAACAGGAAAATTACAGGAGATTAGTCATTTCTCTCCCAAGGCCAGAGCACCCCACAGCTTAGTTACGTAAATAGTAAAGTAAAATTATGCAAAAAGTAAAGAACAAAAGGTTTACCATCTCACACCTTGCAGGAATGTCATATCTACCAGGACAGCAAAAAGGCTAGATAGTAATTTCTTCCTTTGGGGGACAAAGATCAGTACTGACTCCAAAGGGGCAGGGATTCTTAAAGGGGGAGAGTATAGATTATCAGGACATGAGGAAGAAATTCTCTTCAGTTGGGCTGTTACTCTTACGCTCTTATCTCTTGTATTGGTGAAGGACAAACCCTGTAGGAATTGAATCTTAACTATGTGTCAAGGGACAATGGGCGAAGTCCCAACTCTGAGAACTAAAGTAATGATAGACTTTAAATGCTGCAGCTTCAAGATTTCCTAGCCTATCCTAGCAACAACCACATTAGGATAAATATAGAGTTTATGGTAAGTGATTGCATGTTCTCACCATTTCATTGTATCCTTGTTTAGTCTGATGCCTGAAACGACCATGTGTAGTCTTTTTATTTTTTTATCAAACTTTCTTATATTTTGAATGCTCAAAGACTTATCTCTGTAAACACAACATGCCCATTAGGTCTTGCTTTCCAAAGAGTGGTAAAGAGGAGGGGCAGTGGTTGAGCTCACTACCCCTGAAGTGCAAAAGTAAGATAGATTATCCCCACAGTAGCTGGGAGACGTGAACTGGGAGGTGTAGCAAATAGGTGGAGCCTCTAAATGGCAGTGTAGATACAGAATGCTAGATGTACACATTTGTCTAGCAGGATGTGTTGGTTATATTACCCAAGGAGGCGTTGATACCCCCGCCCCCAGAGTAAGGAAAAGGTTACCCCTGCCAGCAGGGCTTTCCCAGTCGTCCAGGACCCAATGGAATGAGTCTTGTAAGTCCATTCTAGGCTAGGAGGCATGCAGATTAGCTTGGGGCCCTATGTTTGCATGGGTGGGGCATCCCCCATCTCCATCTGCTTTGGGGTAAGAAGCATATCCCTGCTGTGACGCATGTGGAATTTGGCTTCTGGTCCAGAAGCCCAGTTTGGAAGCATCTATTTCTAAATGGATAAGCATTATAGAAGCTGAATTTCTTACCATGTACTGCTTGTGAGGCTGTCCATCAAGAAGGACTGGAGGAAGAAGAATGGTACTTATTCATGAATACATTTCCCCCCATTGTAGGATGAAAGTCTAATATATGAATTTTCCATATCCTTTGCAAATACAGATAAAATGACCCGTTCAGAAGAGAAGAGAAGATAAGAGATTGGATTTATACCCCGCCCTTCACTACCCAAAGGTTCAGAGCGGCTTACAGTCTCCTTTCCCTTCCCCTCCCCACAACAGACACCCTGTGAGGTGGGTGGGGCTGAGAGAACTCTGACACAAACTGCTCTTTTTCAAGGACATCCTGTGCCAGAGCTTGTGACTGACCCAAGGTCACATCAGCAGGTGCAGGTGGAGGAGTGGGGAATCAAACCCGGTTCTCCCAGATTAGAGTCCGCACACTTAACCACTACACCAAACTGGTTCAGCCATGTTTTCTTCTATGTTCAGAACTGGAAATTGAATGTATGTCTTTATAAATGTATCCCGGGCTAGCCCGATGTTGTCAGATCTTGGAAGCTAAGCAGGGTTGGCCATGTTTCATATTTGGATGGGAGACCACCAAGGAATACCAGTGTTGCTGCACAGAGGCAGACAATGAGAAACCACGTCTGAATGTCTCTTGCCTTGAAAACCCTATGGGGTCACCATGTCGGCTGCAACGTGAAGGCAAATTTTTTAAAAAAACTGTATCCCCCATTTGCTGTTTCTAATCATTTTTTCCCTTATGCTTTTCCTTGTGCTTGGAGAATTGGGAATGTGATCTTCCATTTAAAATATGCTTGCCTCCTGTCCGTGGGGAATATATTGTTCTCTGACAAGACTGTTTATCTACAGGAAATTGGGGGGAGGGAAGAGCTTTTTTAATGAGTATCAAAGTCTCCTATTAGCAGCATCATATGATCATGTTACTCTGGGCTTAAATTGTTTCCCCATATATTATCAGTGGAAAGACAGAGCCTTGAAGTTATGTAAGTATGGCACAATGAAGACTGGGAGGAGGAGAGGACTGTGGCTCAGTAGCAGAGCAGAATTTTCCAGGTTCAACCCCTAATATCTCCAGTTAAATGATCTCAGGTAGCACATATTGGGGAAGACCGTTCTTTGTCTGAGATCCCAGCGGGTCACTGCTGGTTAGGGTAGATAGTACTGAGATTGATGGTTGTGTGGTCTGAGTCGGTATAAGGAAACTTTATATAAAGAAAATACGTTTTTATGAGATGATTACATGTTCTGCCAAAACTTCATGCTGTTAATCAGGGCACTCTTAAATGAGTAATGCATGTGGATGAGATGTTTGGTGGAACTCTATATTGTAGTACTCATATAAAACATCTGTTCATTTTATAGATTTACTTCCAAACAATTAACGTGACCATGGGAGATATGAAGACCCCCGACTTTGATGACCTCCTTGCAGCATTTGACATCCCAGATATGGTTGACCCTAAAGCTGCTATTGAATCTGGACATGATGATCATGAAAGCCACATAAAGCAGAACGTGCACACTGATGATGATTCCCATGCACCCTCGTCATCAGATGTCGGTGTAAGCGTCATTGTGAAAAATGTGCGGACTATCGATTCTTCTGAAGGAGCAGAGAAAGATGGCCATCATTCCACGGGCAATGGTTTGCATAACGGGTTTCTAACTGTATCGACTCTAGAAGGTTATAATAAAGAGGAAGGGAAATCTCTGAAGGATGAGAGCTCTGTTTCAGAGACTACGCTCAAAGAGTCTGCCTTCAACCAGTTTAGTCCTATCTCAAGTGCCGAAGAGTTTGACGACGATGAAAAAATTGAGGTGGATGATCCTCCAGATAAAGAAGACATGCGTGGAAACTTTAGAGCAAATGTATTAACGGGGTCTGTCTCCCAACAGGAATATGAGAAGCTAAAGGTACTCGGGGGAGAAAACCTCCTTAAACCTGGGGTTGCGGGTTCAGGTAATGCAGATAAAAACAAAGTTGTTAAAAGAGACTCCGAAGCAAACTCAACGCCTTTAGGTATGTACGAACCTTTTAAAACAAGGAAAATAGATGATAAGCTGCTTAAAGAAAATTCTGAAAAACTACTTGAAAACAGGGCACTTGACGGGAAAATGGGCACAGAAAAAGGAGAAGTAACCCTTGCCAGTGTTTCACAGTCTAAAGCGAAATCATCCGCAAAACTCTCCTCATGTATTGCTGCAATTGCAGCGCTTAGTGCTAAAAAAGCGGCAACGGACACGGGTAAAGACCCTCAGTCTCATTCAAGAGAATCTTCTCCACTGCCGAAAGATATGAATGAAAGTCCCAGGGCCTTGGACAAATCACCAGAATCCCAGAGTCTCATTGATTGTGCTAAAAAATCCTCAGCGAAACAGCCTGATAGTCCTAGGAGCGTATCGAGTGAAAACAGCAGTAAAGGGTCTCCTCCGTCTCCTGCAGGCTCAACACCAGCAATTCCAAAAGTCCGCATAAAAACCATCAAGACGTCATCTGGGGAAATCAAGAGAACGGTTACAAGAGTGTTGCCGGAAGTTGATTTGGACAATGGGAGGAAACCAGACCCAACTGGTTCCATGGTTGCTTCCATGACATCACTGCTGTCCTCTCCAACTTCTGCAGTCCTTTCTTCTCCTCCTAGGGCACCTCTTCAGTCAACAGTCGTCGCCAATGCCATGACGTCAGCGGAACTCGCTCCCAAACAGGTCACCATTAAGCCCGTGGCTACTGCTTTTCTTCCAGTATCGGCTGTTAAGACAGCAGGGTCACAAGTTATCAATCTGAAACTGGCTAACAACACAACGGTGAAAGCGACAGTAATATCTGCTGCGTCGGTACAGAGTGCCAGCAGTGCCATTATCAAAGCCGCCAACGCGATCCAGCAGCAGACTGTTGTGGTGCCAGCCTCAAGCCTTGCCAGCGCAAAACTTGTGCCAAAGACGGTCCATCTTGCCAACCTTAATCTACTGCCTCAAAGTGCTCAGACCACCTCCGAACTCCGCCAAGTGCTAACGAAACCTCAGCAACAGATCAAGCAGGCAATAATTTCCGCGGCAGCTTCTCAGCCTTCTAAAAAAGTATCTCGAGTCCAGGTGGTGTCGTCTTTACAGAGTTCAGTGGTTGAAGCTTTCAACAAGGTGCTCAGCAGTGTTAACCCTGTCCCGGTTTACGTCCCAAACCTTAGTCCCCCTGCAAACGCAGGCATCACTTTGCCCACGCGCGGTTACAAGTGTTTGGAGTGTGGGGACTCGTTTGCTCTTGAAAAGAGTCTGACACAGCACTACGATAGGAGGAGTGTGCGGATTGAGGTCACCTGCAATCATTGCACAAAAAACCTTGTTTTCTACAACAAATGCAGCCTCCTCTCCCATGCTCGGGGACATAAGGAGAAAGGGGTTGTGATGCAGTGTTCCCATTTGATTCTGAAACCGGTTCCAACGGATCAAATGATTGCTTCCCCAGCAAGCAGTACTTCCGTTGCGTCGTCTGTTCTTCAGAGCCCCGTTGGCATGGGCACCCATACTGTAGCAAAGATACAGTCCGGCCTAACTGGGACAGTCATATCGGCTCCAGCAAGCACTCCTGTTCCTCCAGCTATGCCTCTAGATGAAGACTCATCAAAGCTATGCCGGCATAGCCTGAAGTGTTTGGAGTGCAACGAAGTTTTCCAAGATGAGACATCTTTGGCTACACACTTCCAGCATGCTGCGGATTCAAGCGGACAAGTACAGTATCTCACATTTTGTATATACGTGGGCAGTTTGGTACTTTTGCCTGTTTTCTTTTCCACGCACATCCTTTGTTTTTTATCATTCCAGATGGGTAGCTGCACTAGTCTGTGGTGGCAGCAAGATAAAAACGGAGTCCAGTGGCGTCGTAAAGACCAACAAAATTTATGCCAGCTTTCTCTGGAATAAATTTTCTTAGTCTTTAGGTGTCACTGGATTCCGGTTTTTATTCTTTGTTATCTTTTGGTTGTTGGTTATTGAGAAAAGTGTCAAAAGATTGGAAGGAGGTCCTTTAAAATATGGAGGGAAGGGTGAGGCATGAAACGTTTGGAAACGGCAAGGGTACTTTAGTTATTTCTTTAATGAACATAATGGTCTTAAGGACACTTGACTGGCTTCTTAAATGACACTCCTGTGGCAACGAACTGACAGTATCAGGGTGATGCTTATCCATCTGTTTGGATTTTGATCTTGGCCCATGCTAAAAGATTCGGGGTGGTATACAGCAGTGTAAAAGCTCTCAAGCGATTAAGTATTCTCGAACTCTCAAGCAATTAAGTATTCATAAAAAAACCTCTTACCAAATCCCAAGGACTGTGGGTGAAATCCATGACTGTTGCTGTTGAGTTCATCTCATTTCTGTTGAAATCTGGAAGCAGCTATGATTCTCAAGATGTAGTATTCAGTCTCCAGATCTGTTTGCCTATACAGAGTGTTGGCCTGGATGGGCCATTGGCCTGATCCAACATTGGCTTCTCTTATGTTCTTATGCTCTTATGACCATAACTGAGGTCCAGCCTCTTCCATGTTCCTCATTGGAGCTCGGTTTGTGACCCAAAATCCATGCCAGGGTCTTGGGCCATGGATGCTGACCTGTACTTGTGGTGCATCCAGGATAACAGAGCTTTAGCTGAGCTGTAGCTCCCATGATTCTGAGTAGTAGTCCAAGATATGCCATGAGTGCTCGAGAAAACCCAGGAACTTGATATGAAGTCTCTTGTTCTGGGTACAAAAATAGAATGCTTTCCCCTGCCTATGGCAAGTAATTCAAAGGAAGAGGGAGTCTGAAGGTCACAGCTAGTAGTAGCCTTACGGCTCAAGGGCCCTATTTATTTGGATTTGGGCTCTTTTTGTAGCAGGAACTCTTTTGCATATTAGGCGACACACCTATGAGCTTACAGTAGCCCCTGTAAGAAGAGCTCTGTAAGCTCTTGGAGGATTGGCTACATTAGGGGTGTGTCGCCTATTATGCAAAGGAGTTCCTGCTACAAAAAGAGCCCCCCACTTTTCTCCCCAGTGGAAATCCAAAAAGGTTTATAATGTTGCTCTCCCCCTCTCCCTTTTATCTTCACAAGTACTCCATCAGATAGGTTAGTCTGAGAGTGTGTGACTGGTCCAAGACAGAATCCTAGAATCACAGAGTTGGAAGGCGTCCTATGGGCCATCTAGTCCAACCACTGCTCGATACAGGATCAGCCTAGAGCATCCCTGACAAGTGGTTGATAGAATCCTACCTCACCCAGTGAGTTTCCATGACACAGTGAACTCGAGTCTCCCATATCGTAGTCTGACACCGTGTTGGTGATGTCATTGTCACGTGCCGAGACTTGGGGGCATCTAAAGATCTGGATCTGTTTTGGACGTGATGGTATGTTGCTTGGTCCCAGGTCTTGATCCAGAATGGATTTGCTGTGGATGGTCACCCAAAATAACGCATCTGAATCCCCCATTGTCAGCTTGGAGAATTATCCTCGCTTAACATTTTCAGAAATTTTGAAGCCGCAGGGGAAAAGCTGTTTTTCTCAGGATGGGTGAGAGGATTGAAATATATGCCATTATGTGCTTTCTTATTATACTCAATTGAACAGTATGAAACGCATAATGTGTAAGCTTGCATACAAATTGTACTGTTTGGCTTAAGTATGAAATTTAAAAGTATAAATGCCTTCGTTTTCTGTAGGCAAAAATTGCAAATAGAGCCGCAGACTTCTGCACCCTGTGCTGTCTTTTTCATGTTTCCTTCGTTTTTGCCCTCGGAGGGAAGAGGAAAAAATAAAAGTTGAAAATAGAAAATATAAGTTTTTGTAGTGAACAAAATAAAGTGTATTCGTTGGACAGAAGCGGCCACAATAAGGGTAATGTCACGGCAGGACCAGGGGGCGTGACACAAGCAAGCAAAAGTCCAGGAACAGTCCGAGGTCAAGCCGGGCAAATCAGGTAGCAAGGTTCAAGCAGGTTTAAATCACAGTCCAAAAGCAGGGTCAGACATACCAAAGTTTCAAGTCCATAAATCACAACAATACCAGAGGAGTCAGAGATGAACGCAGGGTCAACAAAGCCAAAGGTCAAAAGCCGAGGATCAAGCCGAGAAGAATTCCACAAGGTCTGGAGCAGAGATGCAAGGATTCAGGTCCTGAACAAACGACGTTTGCCAGCACAAATGACTGCTGGCAACAGACTTGCATATATACAGTGCTAGCTAATCAACTCATTAGCTAGCCAGGAGTGAGGACAGGATCCTGTCAGTAATCAGGGCTAAGAGATCTTCTGGCACGCATGCGTGCATTCTGCCTTCGCTCTCTCAGCTGTTGTCTTCTTACATTCCTGAGCCTGGTTACAGGTGGAGGCGAGTCTGATGATGAATTACTGGGCTGCAGCAGAGACTGATCCCTTGCAGGTGTTCCCTGGGAGGCTCTATCCTCCTCACCACTTAGATAGCTTTCAGCTACAGGATCCAGTCTTTGCCTTTCTGCTGCAGTACTGTCCTCAGGAGCCTGTTCAGGGTCCTCAGGAGCCTGTTCAGGGGCATCAGCAAAGGCAGGCATGACATCAGCAGGGGCAGGCATGACAGGTAAAAGTATATGTGGATATTGAGGTAAACCTGGTAACATGGAAAAGATCACACACTTCAATAGTGTAAAATTAGTCATTTTTAAACATGGATGTATTATTGAAAAGGGCCGCGGTGGCTCAGAGGTTAAGACTCTGAGCTGTAGACCGGAAGGTCTGTAGTTTGGCAGTTCGAGATCCTAGTGCCGTATGACGGAGGGAGCTCCCGTCTCTGGCCCCAGCTCCTGCCAACCTAGCAGTTCGAAAGCAAGAAATTGCAAGTAGATAAATAGGTACCGCTTCAGTGGGAAGGTAACAGCGGTGGGCCTTGGCATTTAGTCATGTCAGCCACATGACCACGGAGAAGTCTTTGGACAGCTCTGGCTCTTTGGCTTGGGAATGGAGATGAGCACTGCCCCCTAGAGTCAAAGTCAACTGGCTTTCGAGCAACTAGCTTTCGAGCAAGGGAAACCTTTACCTTGATTTTTTTTCTCACATGATGTACTCAGACATTAAGGTGCAAGTGAAGGTAGCATTGACTTTAATTACAGCCAATGTGTGTGGGGGTGTTGGGTTTCTCTGTCTTGTAGTCTAACGCCAGCACCTCTTACCAATGCTACCTTCACTTGCACCTTAATGTCTGAGTACATCATGTGCTTTCCTTAAAAAAAATAAAGAATTCCAAAAGTGTAAAAAAATTAGAATATGTATAGCATCAGTATAGATGGCTTTAAAAAAAATATACACACACACACAAATACATAAATGTTTGTGTGTGTGTGAAGTGCCTTCAAGCCACAGTCAACTTACTGTGATCCCAGCAAGGGGCTTTCAAGACAAGTGAGAAGCCCTAGTAGTTTGCCATTTCTTTACCCTGCAGAGTCTTCTTTGGTGGTCTCCCATCCAAGTATTAACCCTGCTTAGCTTCCGAGATCTCACGAAATCGAGCTACACCATGCCACTTTCTCTGCTATACATATAGATATAGATAAACACACACAAAATACTGCTGGATCAAGATTCTCAACAAGGACATTCCACTCACCTTTGACGGCAAGATTTTGCCTCTCTGCTTCTCACTGGATGGAGCTGGATAGGATGGGGATAGTGTGGAATATTGCAGAATATCTGTGTAAGGCAGATAAGCACCATAGAAAATGCTTTATGTGTTCCCTCTGTATGTGCACATAGTTTGCAGTTGGTGAGAGTATGTAGCTGCTCAATGTTGGCAGTTTTGGGACATGGGTAAGAAGAGTATTCCAAGTATGCCTCAACCAAAGTTATAGGAATGGTCTGTCTAGCCCAGGGCCACCTTCTAGGGCTGGCAGTGCATCTGCCCCTCCGATCTCCAAGAACTTCCTCAGCTGTTAATTATACAAGAAGTTGCGACAGAGGAGATTCAGTCTGGGTTTCCCAAATACATCATCAGTCTTTTCCCTGGTAGACTTTTGTTTGGCATTCAATTAAGTTCACTAGCTTGTTGCTTGAGAGCGGTTGAATGTATTCTAACACTTCCTGCTTTAGAATGCTATCCTTAATTTCAGTGGAATTGGTTTTGTGTATGCCAATAAAGGTTATTGGAATTGGTTTTGTCACAGTCCTTGATTATTACTTCCCTGGGACACAGAGCATCAGACATCACCTTTGGCTAACCTCAGTTCCAGATATGCAGTTTCTAGTCTGCTAAGCCAAACAGAGCTGACCAGCTACCTATGGCGGCTCAGTGACATGGAGAAGCTATTTTTTCTTGGTTGCCTTCCCTGTGATTTCAGAAAAAGAGGAGGGTTGTCTAACACCCAGGGCTGGTGGACTTGCTGGGCCGGCCTGTCAGACATGGTGGAGGTGAGATCTGTTCAGAGGTCATTTCGGGGGGGATCGTGGGAGATCGCAGTTCCCCCAGGTGAGGTGCAGGGGGCGGGGCACATGACGAAGCCCCGCCCCCTGCTTCCGGCCGCCCCGCTTCCGGCCCTCATTCAGCCAGGAGGAGGCAGGAGAAGAGGGAGGGTAAGTTGCTTCCTCCCCACCTCTCCCCACCCTGCCTGCCTGGGGCCAGGGAGGGCCTTCGCGGGGCTTCCTTGCACTCCCGCCGGTCTTGCAGGTCCACCGCCGGGCCCCTCATAGGGCTCGGCAGTGGAGCTGCAAGGCCGCCGGCGGCCGGGACCGTTGGG